AAACTGTCCCTCTTTACTGGCCACCTGATCACATACGCAACACCCAACTGATGGTCTGGGAGGAAGAATTATATAGAGTTCGTTCCTTCCTCCTGTCTGTCTACACAGCTTTGTGTATATATAACGTATCCCAGCCTATTAGTATTGTTCCCATTGATGATGTTTACATGTGTCTGGTCTGGTCAAAGCAAAACTCGTGCCTGGTTCTCATATGGGTGTAAAGACACCAGGATACATTCCCTGCAGCAAATTAGATAAGTATGACCCATGCTATTTTAAAAGAACTGCTACACAGATTCCTTCCAGCTAATATCTCTGTTATGTGGTAAAAGAGAACCGAACTGTAACTTACAGGCGATAAAAAGCTTTTTGCTGACATGGTAGTTTCTGAACGGGATTGATGATCACAGTGTAAGAAAGATACTTTTTCTGTAGTGCTGACACGTGGATTGTGGGTGGGTATATGTTGTGTTCAGCTTTTTACATAACTGTTTTCAGCTTGGTGTTGTGCCCGGGGCTAAATACTGATCTGCAGAACTTTCTGACCACAGACTGAAGCACATAGTCTCAACAAAATTTAAAGTCAAACAGAAATTATATTTTTCCTGGTGCAGAATACACATCTCCTGGGTTGTCCTGCACCAGCGTTTTTACTTACACCTGCAATTATCACTTTGGTCCGTTTAGATGAGGGTATGCCACATACTCTTTAATACCACTGAATTGTAAGCTACAGCCTGAGTTTGTTTACTTCTTCTCTCTTTCCCCTGAAAAGGCTCCAGCTGCTGAGACATTTAAGATATTTCCCCAGAGACATTTCCTTCCTTTTCTTAATTAAAAAAATACTGTTTCTAAAAAATAACAATACTTGTGATTGCAAGGGCAGTGAATAAATATGAATTTAGGGGCAACTGTGCCAGTTATCTGTGGAGCCTATGCTTAGTGCTAACACGAGAACAACGACAATGCTGTGCTAAGATGGTGAGCACGGTAAACACATCAAACCTGCAAAACATGAGCATGTTAGCATTGTTATCATATTAGCATTTAGCAACAAAACAAAAAACTGCCTCTTTAAGCAGAAGCTCAACATAGCACAAGTAGAGCTGTAGACTCCACTTAACATGCTAACTTACTGATGTTTAGCAGGTGTAATATCTACCTGTGTGTTTACCATATTCGGCACCTTAGCTTAGCATTAGAGCATGCTAACATGTGCTGTAGTAGCCTATTACGGGAAATCTAACACAAATTTAACTTTTGACCTTTGGATGTCTGGTGACGTACAATATAATCAATGTAATCACATTCCACATGAACTTGTGGTACTGCTATAGTAATGCAAAACTCACTTTCATGCTCTGCTGAAGAATAATGTATAAATTCATGTTTCGATTAATTGACTGTGATCATGGTCCTTAGCTGAGACAACGCTACTCATCTTGTTTTAGGAAACAAATGTCTTGTATGTAAAGCATGAATTTCTTGTATGAAAATTGCTACACAAATGTATTACTATAATTATTAACTATAATATGAAGCTCAATCTTGTATCCCTGGAGTCAATGGGGGTTCATCCTCTGGGTAGCAAGACTTTCAAAGCAAATACATGCAACAGCTTTCTTTTCAAAGCTGTTAGCATGGCAGCAGTTTTTCAGGATAGGTTTTAAATAAACAATGTGGAGCCTACATTTGTAAGTAAGTTGGTAAATAAGGAAGGAAGGAAGTTAGTTAATAAGTAAGTTGGTAGAAAGAAAGAAAGTAAAAAGTAAGTACTTAAGAAAAAATGTGTAAAGAAGTGAGTAAAGAAAGAATGAAAAGTTGCACAGCCACGATATGAGAGAGACAGAATAAAAAAGGAGAACTTACATAGTGTTTGGAGGGATTCCTTCTCTTCTGCACATCCACAACATTAACGTCAAGGACCGTGCGGAGCTGCATCTTGACCAAACACGATTTGCGCCGAGAAATATTACAACAAACGAAGAAGTTCACCCATGAAAACGATACGAGGAGTCAGAAACCATGAGGGAGCTTCCCCGTGAGGACATCCAGCAGAGAGAGGCGAGGCTGCTGGAAGCGGAGTGTCCTCCAAAGTGTTGGTGTCAGGCGGGGTGGGTGCTTCTGAGCTCCCGATGAAACATGACCAGGCAGTAACCCAGAGTCCCACCTCCCCTCCCTCTGGGCTGGACCCTCAGTCCCGGTGAAGTACGGAAACACAGCCAGGGCATGTGGGCGCGTACACGGGGCGGTCCCGCCTCAGCTGGCCGGACTCCACAGCCCAGGAGCCCCTGGAGAAGTGGAGTCACACCGGGATCTGGTTCTTAGTCTCTCTCGTGTGGGAACTGAACCAAACTCGTAGAATAAGAGCTCAGACAGTTGAGAATACATTTTGCACAAACTACACGTTGACTGCACGGTTTGTTTCTGCATAACAAGTGGATGGAAATGAGAGTGATGTTGCGTTCAAGTGTTCCTCCTGCCTCCCACCATAGGTTGCACCAAACTAAATGGATTTTAGAAGGTAGGATGTATTTGTGTAACAACACTTTGCTATTTTCATGCAAACTGTTTGAATGTGTTGGTTATTAAATTGTAAGAAAATGTAGAAAATATTTTGCCTTTGTAGTTAAAAGTTCAAGGGAACTTTAGAATGTCCCACAGCACTTAAACTCGCATAGAGCTGATTTCAAACATGCGGTAAATGACTTTGCCCCCTCCTAGTGGACGAGCAGGGAATAACATGTTGATCTTCCCACACGGGGGCGCTGACAGCACAATTCTTTTAACAATATGGATAAATGGAGCATTTTCTGATTTGTGATGTGCTCTACAGCAGAGAGGAGCAATGTAACTTCAGTGTCGTATTAAAGTACAATTGTGAAGTATATCCATATATAAGTACTTCCTGCTACGTTATACATCTATTCTACTACATTGTACTATATTTGACAGCTATAGTTTCTAGTTTTTTTATTTACGGTTTTATGTATTGTTTTATAATCGTCTCATTGTTACAATCTATATGATACCTGAAGGAAGTCTGTTTTGTTTCACCTTTCAGTGGGTATTAATATGATGACTAACAGAGCTACTTTTTGCTGTGAAGTATGAAAATAAAAAACAAAGTACATCATGAAGTTATGCCTTATCTGTTAAATCAGTGGGCTGGAATAACTCACAACAGTTAGGTCCAAGTGAAAGTATTTAGATCCTTTATTTACATTATGTTAGTACTAATGTCACATCATTAAAAAAAAGTACTCCATTACAAGTAGAAGTCATGCATTGAAAATGTTACTTAAGTAGAAATACCTTTTCATAATACGAGAAAGTTGTATTTTTACAGAGATACATGTAAATACACTTAGTGCATTACTAGACTGTTACAACTGAACAAAGTATCATATTTTACAAACTCTTCATGCTTTTTATGCAAACTCTTTATTTGTGAAGTACTAAGTGACCAAGGAAGTTCAAATACTACTAGTATTTAGGTAGTATAAAGGGCATGAAAACTAATACTTTTGTTACCAATAATAAATAAAGTACAAGTGCCTGATATTGGTACTTACAGAAGCCGACTAGACTCACAGTCAAAAACCTCAGAGCAGAAGTTTTTGACCTGGGAACTACATCAAGAACAAATCTAATATATAAAGTGTAATCGCACATGTGTCTGGCCCAGGAGCCCCTGAAGACAGTATTGAAAATGTTTTTTAAGAAGATGTTTTTATTTATCAGGGTATTAATTTAAAATAAGGGGAAGTTGTTGTTGGAGAGAATCTTCAACCATAAGACTGTGATTATGTTCTATTATGAAGTCAATGATTCCACCACTGATGACTGCTGGATTACTGTGAACCAGCTGAACAAGCTTGCACCACCTGACTTCTTCTGACACAGTGTGGGTCTATATGGGGTTAAAATGTGAAACTTGTATAAATGTTTCCTCCTCATGACGAAAAGTAGCATGCGTACTAGAGTCAAGGGGCTGAGCCACCGAGCAGAGCAGAGCCCATCATGAGGCAGAGAGAGATCCAGGAAACAGACACCCTTAACCAACCCAGTCAAGCTCACCACTGACAGAGCAGCTCAATGAGGAAATACAAACATTTAGTGAAGTAAAAGCATCCCATGTCTGTTTCTTAAAATAGCATTTGAATCATATAATAATAACAGTCATAACAATGAGAAGAAGAAGAAGAATAGTGATAACAATAATAATAAAATATTATTACACAAATACAAAAGCCATAACACTAATGCAAAAGCCACTCAATGGAAACCCAACCACAAGGGAAGTGAGACCCAGACAAGTCAGTCACTACTTAGAATGAGATGCTTGTGTATTTGATGTCTTAAAGTATAGCACCAAAAGGTTTTCACGAACAACGGCTCACTTGACCCAAACATACATGCGTGTCTTGACTCTGCTTATTTGATTGTCAACATCCTTCACTCACGTCCGTTGTGGTTGGGTTTCTGTTGTGTGGCTTTTGCATTCTTGTAGCGGTTCTTGTATTTGTGGTGTGGCCTTTATGGTTGTGTTGTGGCTAGGGCTGGGCGATATGGCTTCACATCAATTTTACAATTATTATCGCACTGCTGGGCCGATCGGTTTCACCCGTCCAACACTTTGTCAACACATTGTCAATTCTGCCATATCCACAGGACATAGACAGGCTTGAAACGCAGTTTCTCTCTGATCCCCGGTGTAAACATGTAAGTAGATAGAACATATAAGTATGCAATATAATAAGTACGCAATATAATAAGTACGCAATATAATAAGTACGCAAAACATAGTACACAGTATGAAGTCATAAGGCACACGGTGGACAGGATGAGAGTAGTGCAACCCAGATGAGTGCATAATGTGCGCATGACACATAAAACTTGAGAAGGGGTTACAGTCCCCCCCTGGCGCTGACCCTGGATCCGCCCCTGGATCCAGTGTCACAGGAAACCACCATCGTCAGTGAGCGGTTTTAATTTGAAGGTGTCTTTCGCCGGAAGTCCCTGTAGCCATGTTAGCTAGCTTGTCACCGCTTCGCTAACTTCTGTGTGTTCAGTCAACCGAAGCTCCAGGTCTGTCCTCAGTCTGGGTTCTCCTCGGTTACGTTAAATGATAAAAACATGTCGTGTCGTTTGTGATGCTATTGTAGATATTTACCAACCAGCGCTTTTTACCGGGAGCTAACTCTTCACCTCCTCCTCCACCTCCTCCTCCTCCTCCTCCTGGCTGTGAAACACCGCTAGCTGCGATGTGATTGTGCGGAGCTGCAGTGAAGGGAAGTTATAATTGACATTATCGCAGCTGAATGGACTCAACACCCGCTCGTCCGGCTTCGTCTAACGCGTGAATGCGGCTGTTCTCGACAGTTGAGCTCCGCGTCGGGAGGAAGAAGAACCGCTAGACTCCGTTTTTCTCCCCTTGGCGGCGGAAATAACCGAAGAAGAAGAAGAAGGGAGCGCATCCCCACACAGACACAAACATGTCCTTCTTCAATTTTCGGAAGATATTCAAGTTGGGGTCCGACAGGAAGAAGAAGCAGTACGAGCATGTCCACAGGGACATGAACCCGGAGGACATTTGGGAGATGATCGGGGAGCTGGGTGACGGAGCGTTTGGGAAAGTGTACAAGGTAATAACACTGTTTTACATCCGTCCTTAGGGGGGTTCGAAGACACGCAGCGTCCATTGTGTGTCACGTTGGTGTAGATGACAGGATGCAACGTGAACATGACAGCACCACTCCTCCTCCAGGCCACATCCTCTAGACTTAGTGTGTTTTCATCTGCCCTGTGTCCTGCACCTTCACTGACCAGGAAATACAAAACAAACCCAAGCTGCAGGATCTGCTGGTGTCACCCTCACCTCACCCACATGTAACTGCATCTCCCTCTTTTTACTCAGGAGGGTTAAGGTCGAGGCCCTGTTTATAAAAATGACTTTGCCATGTCATTGAGTTGCAGTAGCAGGCAAAGTGGTGAAGGTGTGGTCCTACTTCCACAGAGCTAACATGGCCTCACAAATGTCAAACTGGATTGTTTTTTTTTTTTTAAATCTGAGGCTGCTGTGAGAAACCAGAGGCCACACAGACAATGAGTGAAACAAATAGCAGGTAGCAGGTAAAAACAAACGTGTCACTCCCACATGTGCAGAATTGTTGATGTGACAGCTGCACGTGTGTGTCAGCAGATTTTAGAAGTGAATTATTTTATTTACACACTGACTGACACATACTGTGCATTATATATTAACATTTAACAAATCATTTAAACCATTTATGTATTAACTTCCTTACTGTGCTTGCACAATGCATTAGTAATATATATATATATATATATATTTAATATTTACTACATGGCTATTGATGAAAACGCATTGTGATCATTATTGTTACTTTTTTATTGCCCAGCCCTTTTGTATGTATTGTGGACACAATAGCCACAATATCATTGATTAGCCTCATGAATGCTACCTTTTGTGTGGATTCATTTTTTGTCTAGCGTCAGACCGCCAGGGTTGCAGAGATATTTCCTCCCTCTGAAACTGTAGATCTCAGTGTAGTTTTTTATTATCCCACAAAGAATTCATGTTTTTGTGTCCAACCCGTAATCTCTGTCAACTCTCCAGGTTATCTTTGTGTGGACCGGTTTTACATTGTGAACTGGACAGCAATATAAGCAACTGTGTTCATATACCTGTATTTGTCTCTGAGTGATGGATAAATGGGCTTTTTTTCCTTTTCTCTTTTTACCCTAAAGTTAAAACAGCTTCTTTTAACAACTCTCATAGAGAATTGATATGTATTGTACAAATTTACCAATGTGAAATTTGGCTTTTCTTGTAGTTTAGTGGAAATTAGTTTCACAGGAAGCTTCCTTTCTCCGTGAGTTTGAACAAATTCTGTCTCTGTTTGTGGTTACTTCCTGGATCTGTTATGCTCAAATAATGCAGCTAACAGTCAAAACAAAAGAAATCAGTCACAAGTTTCCAAGTCCTATGAGCTGATTAGCTAAGCGCAGAGGACTTTCATGCCCTGTCAGATAGATTCATTGATGAACACACGCCAATTCAGACGACGCATTTCATCAGTTATTTCACAGGCGTGTGATGGTTACCTCATTTGGGTGGGGTGACAAAGATCACCAGCAAAGTGTGAATCAGCTGTTTGTGAGAGTGAATAAGAGGAAGTCCAGACCTCACATACACATCCAGACTTTTAGTTAGCGAAATAATTCCTCACATAATTCTTTTTACACAGCCAGCTTATAATCATGTAGCTATGTTATAAAGGGTTTCTGCAGAGAATTCAAAAAATCTGAATTCTTGGCCTTACAAAGTCTAAGATACGTTAAAATATACATACAATGTCTTAAATACGTTACGGTAGGTCTTAAACGTTAATTTAAGACTATGTCATCGCGCTTAAAATGATTTTTTTGGCAACAAACAGGGTTTGTAAGGTGTCTTGTGTCGTACGTGAGACAGGTGTTGCACGATGGTCTTGAAAAGTTCTGAAAATAGTATTAAAAATGTAACTGATACCCTTTTATAATATGAGACACAAAGTGAGTCCCCCTGCCAGGTGGTTGTGTGAGATTTATCATAGTCACAATTTATTCCACATGAAATAGATGAAATTATTTGCCAGACCTAAAAGATTATCGAACCAGATGCATGATGCATCAGTAATTTCAGAAGGAACGTATAGTTGTGTTTCTCATTTTGACATTGTTACGACACCTACAAACTAATTCTACATCTCAAAACAGACCCGTATTTACAACAAGTGTAAAATGTTGTGTTCATAAAGATAAAGGCCAGACACACCACAACCGACGAATAATCGCCTCGCTTTCCATCATGGCGCTTATGCTGAATCTGTATATGTGTCAGTGATGGCTCATGTTAAACGATTGTCAGCTAGTACAAAGGGAAAGAAGCAGAGAGTGAGTCAGGTCAGAACTGTGTAAATATAGGGTCTGACACACTCTGCAGCAGCAGTCCCTCCCAACACGCCCTCCCATTTCTTTTTCCTTAACTCCCTGAGATTGTGTCTGTATCCATAAACATTAAGCTGCCTAAAATAACTTCTTTTCAGCTGATGTTTGAAGGGGTGTGTGGTTTTTTTCCATATTAGAGTTTATATATTATTAGAGTTTATTATTATTATTATTATTAGGGAATTTGACTTCAGCCTAATCAGGGAAAGAAATTGTTACCAATAACGTCACACACAAGCCAATCAAATGTGGTTTAATGTTTAAAAACTGCCTCTGTGACTTCACTGTTACAGCAGGTGTTTCAAAGGGAAAGGAAATAGTGAACGGTTAGAAAAGGAAGTGGGGGAAGTCAGAAAGTTTCAGAATGTTGCTGTGTTTTTCTTTCTTCAGCCATTTTCCTTTTCAGTATATAATTGCATGTTATAATGACGTCTCTATAAAATGTATTTAGATGATTGAGATGTGATCCCGGGAGATTGCTTTCAGCTAAACAAGCCATAAAGTCCTCTACTGTTTACCGCTCTAGCTCCTAAAAGGCTTTGTCTTAAATAAAGTTGTTAACATTGATGGGCGTTCTACCACAGTAGCTATACCCTAACGTGGCAGTAATTGACCAACATACTCATTCGAAACAATTCCTCTATTGTTCTGTTTCTTTTACACATTTTGTGTTGCAAGAATACACAACATTCCTTGTATGTAACTTCCAATTTTTCTTATTGTTCATGTTGTGTTCAGGCTCAGAATAAGCAGAACGGGACCCTCGCTGCTGCCAAGGTGATTGACACCAAGACAGAGGATGAACTGGAGGATTATATGGTGGAGATCGAAATTCTGGCCTCTTGCGACCATCAACACATTGTCAAACTGCTGGATGCCTTTTATTTTGAAGGCAAACTTTGGGTAAGCCAGTGAGTGCCTAACTGACAAAACTGTTTTTTTATTTTCGGGTGTGTTGATGTTGACTTGAAGCCAAGGAGACACAGAGACAGAGAACAAGTCATGCAAGGAGACACACTAATTCAACACCATTTGTTACGCCGTCTCTTGAAGAACTCTCACATCATTCGATTTAAGGACAGTCACACTGCATTTTTTTCCTGTCACCAAAGACTGAAGTTTTCAAAACCAGTCATGTGACTAGTTTGAGGGTAGGACTGCAAGCTCAACTGCAGGATAAGTGTGTCAGAAAAACACATTTTAGATATTTCCTTATTTTAAATAATGGACTGGGTGAAGCACTATGTTGGATCCCAAGACTTCCAGTGGAATCCCGCAATTTTTGACCTTATTCTTGCTCTGCCACAAAATCGTAAACAGTGATTAGAGTTTCCTTATTGTGACACTGGAGTAAAATTCTCTGCACCCATTTTTCAAAAAAACTCCTTTGTCTGCCTCCTTATCCCAATGAGCAGAGACTTCAGTCACAGTGCAGTATTAATACATGGTCAGTAGATTTCACTCTTTGTGCAGTAAGAGGCCCCAGAGCAATTAGGTCCAGGTAGGCGGTGTCATGTGACTGTCCCCTGTGGACTGTCCACATCTATGAGAAGATAATGGAGTGGGTTCGGTGGCTGGAGAAAGTGCCTGTGAATAATTCAGAGCTGCATGCCGGTTGCCCCTTCTACCATGATTTTTTAAGCAGCCTGATGAATGTGTAACTGCCTCTGCTTTGCATTTGTTGGGTGTTAATGTATAATATATTCCTTATTTCTACTACAGATAAATCAAAGAAAATACTAAATGCTAAAATGCTACAGATAGGGGGTTTGATTTTGTACAGGTGATGTTCAATTTTACCAAATTGGAATTGAATTTGTGAAACTCCTGTCAGAGGCACAGGAATGTAAATTACTTTGCGAGATTCCCACCCCACGATGATGATTATGCAGAACAGGAAGAACCACTGGATTCCTCCTTGTTGTTTCCATCCAATGAATAGAGGGTGTTGCTCGGTTGTAGCTTTGATTGATTTTTTTCTATCATCTGATACCATGGGCTGCCAAGTTATGTGCTGGCAAAGCTAATAAAGATGAAGTGGTTGTCGGTTACATTACAGCAGCTGATAAGAGAGAGAGAACTGAGGTCAGGTGATGGGCAGTTTTACATTTCAATAACAGTATTAGAGAACAGTGTCATGTTCTTCTAATGCAGTGGCTTCATATAGTAAACACAGATGTGCTTTGTGAACTGGTAAATCTATCGTCTTTGCTTTATAGTGTAGATTTACTGTGGCAAAAGTTTTTAATGGTAAATTGTACAAAATTCTATAATGTATGAGGATCACTGACTTACGTCCCCAGAATATTTCCTCTCACATGTTCCTTTCATGCAGATGATGTGGTTTAGATACACTGAGAGTAGATAAAACAGTTGTTTGTGAAAGGAATCAATCTCGTCTTCTCTCCAAGAATGAATTTGTCTGCACTGGAATTTACATTTTAGTTTACATTTTGTACATTTTATTTCCTAAATATACAGTGATATTTACCAAAACATGATATTTTATCAGAATGTATGATGAAATATCCAGGATGTCTTGTGTAGTTCAGCAAACAAAGCATTTACCCACCAAAGAATATGAATTTATAAGAAAGTGCAAGGAGAGGATTTAAACCTCTGTTGATTTATCGATCCAGCAAAAATAAGGGATTGTCCTGAAATGGAAAACACAAGACGTACCTTTAGAGGAAGCTCAGTATCGATATTTTAGTGTCTGATTGATTTTTTTCATGGCCCCACAACGAAATCAATAACATATAACAGTGATGCTGATGTCTGTGCTAAAGGTCATGTTATTTACATGCACCTACAGTTCCTCCTTCATTGCATCACAGCATGCATTACTAATTTGTCCAATTTGCTTTGCTTTAAAATTGCAGATCCTGATTGAGTTCTGTGCGGGCGGCGCAGTGGATGCCATAATGCTGGGTAAGTCCCTCATTCATTAAAGGAAACACAAACGCTCTATAAAGTTCTGGAGCCTTTTCTTTGCTCCATCCCTGAGTGCCAACTCTTTTTGTTCCACCCTGAAACCTCTGCTGGATTTTCTTTCCCTCTCCTCACTTGGAGAGGCCAGTCCAACTGTGTAATTATTGTAGCTTGGATTTCAAGGAGTGGTTGGTCCACTTCCAACGCCAGCACTTTCTTAGTCTCTTATTTTGACTGAAGAAACACCACACAATCTTTTCTTACTTGTAAATTACAACAACAAAGAAGATGCCAATAAATTCACTCCTCTCTTGTTGATGTTTTTTCTGCTTTGTGGTCTGACTCACCTCAAACAAATGTCTTCTGCCAGGATTGTCCAGTCATACATGCTGGCTGGTATAAGGGTGGAGATTTGTCCTCCAGTTGCTATTGGAAACCATTCAGCCCTCATATTATATGTGAATACATTCTAATGGCCCAGTCTTTGTTTCTAATAGGCATACAAACTTCAATAACAACATATGATCTTGAAAAATATGTGACTAAATAATTATCTGTGTGCTTGTTTATCCACAGAACTGGAGAGGCCCCTGACAGAGCCTCAGATCCGTGTAGTGTGTCGACAGACCTTAGAGGCCTTGATTTACCTCCATGAGAACAAGGTCATCCACAGAGACTTGAAAGCTGGGAACATTCTCCTCTCCTTGGATGGAGAAGTGAAACTGGGTAAATATCTCAATTTTCACTGCTGTGGTTGCTATTGTAATATCTGTCTGCTAATTCCAGACATTCTCTGTCTGTCTTTGACTCTTATATCCTGACAACCTTTCATCTTAACGGCTTTGCACTTGCCATGTGTATTGTTAAGGGCCCAAGAATTGCCGAGTCATGATATAATATTAAGAAAATTTGAATAAACAGGAGACCAGCACTCTGTAGCTGTGATGGCTAGGACTCATCAATGAAAGTGGCGTTGTTCACGACAACAGCAACAACAACTTATTCTCCAGTTGGTCATTTAACTTCACCGAAATTTGAATAAACAAGTGAACAGTGGTGCAGCAGTGGTGGTGCAGCTTCAGGGCTCTGCGGACTGAGTCCTGCAGCCAGTCTTTACTTACAATTACAGCAGTTTCAGAAAGAAAGCCACATTCATTACCACTGGCCAAGTGAACAGCCCATTACAAACAGGCATCTTTAGAATGGGCACTGTGCTCGTTTTAACAAATGTGAAGGATTATTCAAGAAGATAAGTGCACTTGTGTTACAGCTAAGCACATGTACTTTGGAATACTCAAGAGATGATTCATTGGTGGTTCCTCTCTCAGATATATGTCCCCTCAGAACCTCCCAGCAGGGCCAACACTAATAGATCTTAAAAAAAGATCATTAGTAAAGTCTATTGTGGATCCCTTGGCCATCAGCGCTGTGGTAACCAGCTGAGCTGCATGACTTTGGGGACGATGACAAGTGCACAGCACTGTGTTTACGTTCAGTAATGAGTCATTCATGCTGCGTGACATTTAGCGTGAAATTTTGAAAATGAAGTTAAGTGTTTTTTTGTCGACCCAAAGGAGAGAGGCGTATTTTTATACACCACTAATGCACTGGAGTTGGTGACGCACTGAATTAGTTACATAATATTCAAGAAGTAAAAGTGTTCATGTTGCTGCTGTTGCATTCAGAGCTGCTGGTTCCCTGATGATTCACGTACTGTAGGCAGCAGGGTTACGACAGAGCCGGGCAAACAATAATTATCAAGCTGTCACCAGGGAGGTAATGATAGATCTCTCTTTCCTTCTAATGCGTACATGCTGTAAGTGATGGGAGAAGCAGGCTGAGATAGTTGCACAGATAACAGCAGTGCTGGCAGTGATAATGGACGTATGCCCAGTTCTAGGGTTCATATTTGTAATCTGAAGCCAGTTTAGTTAAGAAAGGATTCTGATATAACTGGTTTCCTCTAGTAGAAATGTCCTCAATTTTTTAATACATTTTCTCTTCCACTGAATTCACAGTTTCATTATAGAGCTAAATTTGATTTTCTGATGAAAATAATCAACATGTCTTCTTTCAGCTGACTTTGGGGTTTCTGCTAAAAATACCAAGACGTTACAGAGAAGAGATTCTTTCATCGGCACTCCTTATTGGTGAGTCACGCAGCCTAGAGACATGAGGACACTGTCCAACAGAAAATTGTCTTCAGTGTGTCCCACAGTTTTAGGTGATGACACAATAGCGTCATTGACATCAGCTTTAAATACTGAGGGGGCTTTATATCCTTTAAATTCCAGACCAAAATACACACGCATGCTATGTTATTGCCTTTTCTTTAGTTAGGAGAATTGACCTTAAGGAATCAGAAAATAGCAAATATCATGTCTGAAAGCGTACATTCACTTGCAGCCCAAATGTCAATAACAAACCCTCTGACTTCTCATTTTACAGGATGGCTCCCGAGGTAGTTATGTGTGAAACGTCCAAGGACCGTCCGTACGACTACAAGGCCGATATCTGGTCCCTCGGGGTAACCCTGATAGAGCTGGCACAGATTGAGCCGCCCAACCACGAGATGAATCCCATGAGAGTGCTGCTGAAAATAGCCAAGGCCGAGCCTCCCACACTTATGCATCCCTCTCGCTGGTGAGATGGTGTGCTGGTGATAACTAGACAGGTGGAACGGAAATGTTCCAGGTTGGAGATAAGCAAATGTTGACTGTTTAAGGTGTTAAAAGCGTGGTGAATTGTTAATGCTTAACTGGTCACAGAGGAGAACTGTATTAATCTGACTCCACAGAGCAGGGCCAGGGGAGACAACTCTGTTCCGTGGCCAACAAACTGATTCTTTTTTTATTTGTTCTTGGAAGGTCACCAGAATTCAACGACTTTCTGCGGAAAGCACTTGATAAGAATGTGGACAATAGGTGGGGCCCAATACAGCTTCTACAGGTGAGCTGCCTTCCTCCATTCACAGCCCACTGTTATCTCTGAGTAAGCAAACTATCTACACTGCTGGCGACTGGCTGGAGGCATTATGTTGTGTTAACCTGTCTTTCCATCTGTACTATACTGTACATACATCCATTATTTACATTATTTATTATTTGCATTATTTTTTAACGCCTTGAGGTCCATATGTCTACATGGACTCTGAGCTGAGATCAAATTTTGGTGATGAAAGGTCCATTTAGCTCTGACCTCGCATCCACCTCATTCTCATCAGCACAATATCGCAAAAAGTGCCCTTAGGGAATTTATTCAAAATTTGGCACAAAAGATCAACGCTAAACCTGATTGGTTTTTGTTGGTCAAAGGTCAAGATCGCTGATCTCACTCTGATTTATCAGTAGTGCCCAGAAGGGATTAAATTCCATCTGGTACAAACATCTTTTTGGACTCAAAGTGATCAGTGTCTGTGTTTAACATTAATTTCATAGCCTCGGTTGGTGGAGACATAAAACCATGAAGCTGTAATTCTAGTTTTCTGTTCTGATGTTTGTGCTTGTATTTGATTCATTCTGTCAGTTTAAGAAGGAAAAACATTTCTAATTAATTTCCATGTCTGGTCTCCATCTCCAGCATCCCTTTGTCAGCAGTGTAACCAATTGCAAACCTCTCAGAGAACTAATAGCCGAGGCCAAAGCTGAAGTCACAGAGGAGCTGGAGGACAGCAAAGAGGAGGAAGAGGAGGAAGAACCTGATACACCTCAGGTACGTACTTTATTTGGTGTAATGTATGTACTCTATATATATATATATATATAGTAGCAAGCATGATTGTACCTAACCAATTTTTGAGTTAACCTTTTTAACAAATAAAATTTCAATGATGTATGAGGTCTAATCGCCATTGTTGATATCTTTTTAATAGACAGCTCGGTGACCTTTTATATCATTGATGAAATTTTGATTTTCCTGTTTTCCTATCTTTTGACTCAGACTGTTCCTGGGCACAAGCGTGCACCATCAGATGTCAGCATGGCCAGCTCAGAGGACGATAAAGCTGCACAAACTCCCTCCACTCTGGAATCTGTTACAGAAAAGATGGAGGTAAAGCCTGCTGCGGACGGGACCAGTGATAAACTCTCAGATGAAGGACTTGGAACAAGTAAGGTAGACAAGACTGAGGAGGAGAAACTCAATGAGGTGTCTGATGCCAGTAATGAAGGCCTGGCCTCTCAGACAGCAGAGCCCACCCAGGACTTGGTCACTCAAGATCTTACAGAGAATAAACCAAAAGATGAACTAGGTGAAGTGATTCCTGAGGGGCCTGTAGTAGCAGAGCCTGAAGAGAACTTAGATAGTTTAGACCTATACACAGATGGTCAGACAACAGAGGAAGAAGAGAAGGAGACACAAGAGGAGAAAACAAAGGATGAAGAAGAAATTAAGCCTGAGGATTTGAAAGAACAAGAAGAAAAAGAAAAACAAGAAGCAGGTACAGACGAATCCACAAAATCACAAGAGCAACCTGGAGATACACAAGAGAAACCAGAACCTATTACAACAGATGTAGCACAGGCAGGAGAAGAAAACAAAGAACCAAGTGTGGAGACACCTCAACACAAAGTGACAGTTACAGTAGAAGACTCAGTAAATGTCACAGATGCGAATGTAGACAAAGAGAATATAGAATCAAATCTAAAGGACGCCAATGTAAATGGAGAATCAGAGCCAAAGTTGAAAGTGGATCCCTCCACTGACATTTTGTTAGAGAAGCAGACCAAAGAAAATCAGCCTGGAGAAAAGCCTGAGGATGAGGCCCCTGAGGGGGCAGAGCAGCCTGAACAAGATAATCAGACTGGAGAGAAGGTTGAACTGGAGAAAGAGGCAACAACTGAATCCACAAATGGAGTCAGCAATGAAGTCAAAGAAGCCTCTGAAGAACCAGAACCAGTGCAACCATCATCTAAAGACATCCCCGTGAAGGAGGATGAGGAAAAAACTAGCTGTGCTGATGAGAGCACTTCTCAAGATGCTGTTTCTGTCCCAGAGAGCGAAACCGACTCTGAAACCAAGACGGAGCAAGGAAGTCCTGCTGTGATCAAGTCAGATGTGGAGAAGGACTCTGACTCTGGAAGCAGCTCCGCTGCTGATAGTAACAGCCTTGACCTTAATCTGTCCATCTCCAGCTTCTTGTCCAAGAGCAAAGAAGGGGGCTCTATTTCTATGCAGGTAACATAACATATGCCTCAATCATAACGTCAGTCGTTGAAATATAAACACTATTTAAATAACTCCTGCACCCAAAACGTCCCTGCTTCATTTGTAGGAGTCGAGACGTCAGAAGAAGACTCTGAAGAAAACACGTAAATTCATGGTGGATGGTGTGGAGGTCAGTGTGACGACATCAAAGATAGTGACCGATAATGACGCCAAGAGTGAGGAGATGAGGTTCCTGAGGTACGTCTGTTTGCAATCTGCTCACCATACCGTTGGTCTAAATATGGGACATGACCTATTTAACATGCCTCCTTAAATAGATCTCTTGTATTTCACTGCTCCCACAGCTTTTACAAAAGCCAGATTATCTCCTGTGATGAATGCTGTATGTTATATGTTGCCTTTTAAAGACATGACACATGCTGTTTCAACTGTTTGTACAAGTGCTAAGTATTTGATGTGGACTGACTATCAGTAAAGCTTAGAGTTGTATAGCAGACAGATCAGAATAATCAACAAAACTAATGTTGTAATTAATCTTTTGATACATATGAAAAATCCCATCTCAGAAAAGGAAAAATACAAGTTTTGAATTGAAATCATCTTTTTTCATTACTAACAAACAAAGTTGAATTTGAGAAGAGATTATGATGGCACCTTGACTACACTGTTGCCGTGGTTTCCTCAGGCGGCAAGAGTTGCGAGAGCTGCGCCTCCTGCAGAAAGAGGAGCAGCGGGCCCAGCAGCAGCTGAGCAACAAGCTGCAGCAGCAAAGAGAGCACATCTACCGGCGCTTTGAACAGGAAACTACTGTGAGTCACTTTGTTCATACCAAAGTAGTGCGAGGTGTTTTTTTAGTGTACCAACTCCTAGGAAACAAACTGCAACATCTCAAAGTTGATCTAAACATAACAGAATCTCACATTAAGGC